GATCCTCGGCCGGACGACTCTGCTCTTGTGAATTCCCGAGGTATCTCTTGTACTCTTCGTCCAAGAATCTCCGTGCCTCCCGGTAGGCCCGGCTTCGAAGCCACCCTTTGAAAGGACGGTTCGGGCGCGGCACTATAATTTAGTATAAATTATAGTGATTGGTTCTCTTATACACGCATATATACATGTGTGTGTGTGTGTGTGTGTGTGTGTGTGTGTGTGTGTGTGTGTGTGTGTGTGTGTGTGTGTGTGTGTGCGTGTGCGTGTGCGTGTGCGTGTGCGTGTGCGTGTGCGTGTGCGTGTGCGTGTGCGTGTGTGTGTGTGGATGGGACTTACTATTGTTCTGCGGATGTGGGTGGATCTAGCAGCCTAAATTGTTGGTCCCAGCACCTCACGGAAGGTTGCCACTCGGATGTGGAGACTCCGGTCACTCTTGTTCAGAGTCCAAAGGAGATGTAGTTTGAACGAGCACAGTTCTAATCACGAACCGGCAGAGTTTCGTTTTAATAATTGACTGACAATTTATAACTGAGAACTGGGACTGATCACTGACGGCTGCTGACTTCTAAGTTCTGACTGCTGACTCGTGGAGGGCCTCTCTTTTTATATTGGCGAGTTAGTGGTGCCGAGTGCGGAGCACACGTGTGCTGCTGGGCCAATCCAGGATTAGGATTATGATTAGGGATATCGGTTGTGAAATGGGATACAGGGGTATGTGTCTAAGACAACTTTCGTTATCGACCATTTGCTGGATGTCCAATAGGTTCGAGCCACACGTGTCATTTATTGCGCACAACTGCTGTTTTATTTTATAATTCTAATCTATTTATTCTTCCCGTTCCTCGATAAGGTTCGCCTATTTGGCACTTGGTTCCAATATCTAACCCAACGGTTCTGTCCCGAATGGATTATTAGCTTGAAATGTTATTTGGCTCGTCGCTATTGTAACAGATGGTCTATCGGTATTACTGGTTAATAATTTTTATGGTGATGACGAAAGTTTTTAGTCGAAGAAAAGAACTGTGGGGTCCGGACGTAACAATTTCTTTGAGTTACTTTTATATAAATATTTTTGTAATAGTATTCAATGACATGCATTTATGAAGTCTAATATATTATGTATGTATTGTATATGTAATAATATATACCAGACTGAGTATGTGCATATAATTGAAATATATGAAGTATTGCAAAAATGAAAGTAATGTTAAACGTAATCATGTTGTATATGCGCATCTTATTCTCAGCTCCGATTACTGAAATGACCTTTTTTTTCGCTCCTGTACTATTGAAGGCTCCAGTTCGTCCCTGCCTCCTCTTGCCAGCTCGTTACTAGACTTGGCAAAATCCTGAGTCGATGTCCCTGCGTGTTACTGTAGTACGCGTATATGCAATACATTCTTCTAGCATTGCATTGAGAAGATTGCAATCCTGAATTCAACACTTTATGATTGTTATACGAAATTGCTTTACTTTGTAGAGTATCTTCTTGAGGTCGTATATAAATGGAAAATCTTCTGACTCACGGAACCGCTAAATGGCAGAATATTTTGTTTTTGATGTTCTTATATGAATTATCACTGAATGATGAAGATTTTCATCGAATGTATATTTTTTGTAGTTATTCATATATGTCTGATAATATATTATTTTAGATAATATAAATTTTATACCAATTTTATATAAAATATTGTATAAAAAGAAATGTACAGGGTGTTCCCCCGCGAGACTTTTCCTACCAGTAGCAGGAAGATAGATGGGATCAAGATGAACACAAAAGTCCTGTACTATTTAGCGACATTTAAAATAATAAGTTCTATACCGTTAGCGATATTCACAATAAAAGTCCTATATCGTTTAGTAATATTTGTAATAATAATTGACATATTAATTTTTGTAATTGTACTGAGAGTAGAGAAACGCTCCGACCGCTCGAGATATAGCCCGGCCCAAGTTTATTAAGTATTGACTGTCGGAAGCGCTCCATTACTCGACGCTCGGCATTGTCGCTCACACGTCTCGCCGTTTCTGTCGGCATGTTCTCATTAGTGTAATTATAAAAATTAATATCTCAATTATTATTGCGAATATCGCTAAACGGTATAGTACTTTTATGTTCCTTTTGATTTTATTTATTTGTGAGTGATTTTATCTTTTTGTGAGTAATGAGAGAAGTTTCGCGAGACATCCTGTATATTATTCTTTAAAATTTAATTAAGATAATCTATCCATTGAGCGTTGTGACCTTGTTCTTTTCTACATTCAGTGATCACGTAGTCGCGAATAGTTACTTTTCAGTTTCAAAACTATTCGCCAATAGTCGTAATTACTATCTAATTACTACTCAGTTACGTAGACGTGAATAGTTACTTTTCAGAATTATTTGTCAATAGTCGTTAGTTACTATTCAATTACTATTAACATACGTAGTTGCCAACAGTTACTAGTTAAGTAATTATATAAAAAAATTGAGTAATTATAGAAATCTGAATAGTCTTAAATAGTTCCTTTTTATACGGGATATACGAGGGTCGTTCGAAAAGTCCGTGCAAAGTCACTGCTGATGGCACTACTGGCGCGTATCAAGGTTAGATTTAGTTAGTAGCATCTCTTGGAGGAACACACACCAAGTTACAGCCAGATCGGTCTATTTGTTTGTGTTTGGCATTCATTTGAATCGAGGAAGTCGAGGGGGGTTTGTTTCTGCAATCACGTCCTCGTTTCCATAAAATCTTTTTCCCGCCAGCCATTTCTTCATATTGGGGAACAAATAGTAGTCCGAGGGAGCCAAGTCTGGAGAATAGGGGGGATGTGAGACGAGTTGGAACCCTAATTCCATTAATTTTGCGACCACAACTGCTGAGGTGTGAGCTGGTGCGTTATTGAAAATCACTCGACTTCCTCGATTCAAATGAATGCCAAACACAAACAAATAGACCGATCTGGCTGTAACTTGGTGTGTGTTCCTCCAAGAGATGCTACTAACTAAATCTAACCTTGATACGCGCCAGTAGTGCCATCAGCAGTGACTTTGCACGGACTTTTCAAACGACCCTCGTATGTATATAAACATTTTAGCAATGAGCATATCTGAATCGTTACCAACCTATATAACACATTCTATTCTTCGAAGAATCCTGAGAATGTTCTTAGAACGTATCCTTAGGACATGCTCTGGAATGTCTTCAGGACGTTCCTGGCAGATTTATGCTGCAACAGAAACTGTATTCTTATAATATCTTTCTTTATTTTCTTTTTTTCATTTTTTTTTACATACGTTCTTCTTCGTATTAACGATGACGTGTAGAGCATATAATCGACCGTACCTATGTTATTCATAATTTAATGATGATGTAAGTAATATGTTGATGATAATAATTGTTTCTATGTTTGTAAAATATCCTGAAAATATAGATATTTACTCAAAAAAGACATATAGTTACGTTTGAAAAGGACAATGGTTAAATTTAACTTTATACGCAATCGTACTTTATTTTATTGTACAATTGTTTTCCAAAATGTCTTAAATTTTTGTTTTATCGCATTTGAAGTCAATTCAAGTATTCTTTTATGTGTAGGTCCACCGCCAGTTCATCAATTAATAAGGAACGATAAGACTGATAAGCCGCCGACTATAACAGTTTCGAGTGCATCGACATTTTCATCGGTCCTCAGGCCGGAAGACGGACACCGTGGAATAGAATCCCCGCATTCGCAAACCGGTATGTATTTGCCAGTTTTTATCGGTTTTCGGACTTACAAATTGTCCCTCTCTCTCTCTCGACAACGTTGCGAATCACTCGAATTTAGCTGCTTATGAAGATTCGTATGAGAAGAAAGGAATGGACGAGACATTAGAAAATATTCTAATATTGCGAAGATTGAATAATTGATTACTGTAATTGCTGTAGGGTTGGGCGATATGCTTTTGCCAACGTATTAACCACATTTCGAATCATTAGAAGTATGGAAATAAACGTTTAATAATTCTTGTAATTTATATTTAATGAAAGCCTTTTAATTTGATAAAGCAGGTTTATCAAGAGTTAACGGAAATAGACTATATGAAGATTTCGTATGTATTTAACAGGACTTAATAAATAAATATTTTGAAATGCCGTTTTAAGACTTTATTTTTAAAAATATATTTGAGAGCCTGCTTTATTGAATTAAGGCAATTTTATTGTCCAGAAGAAGATATAAATTTCAATTGCTTCATGTGTTCTTTCGCATATAATAATTTCTAAGATATAGCTAATTTTAAAATTGCAATTAATGATAAATAAGATCCTTATCTCATTTTTTAGCAGCTACAGCTTATGAAAACTGTTTAAATCTAGGAATACACGATTTAAATATTAAATGAAATATTAAAAGAAGAAAAGTTTACTGGTAATAGAATCGAAATTATAATAATAAGTAACGCGCGTACGAATATCGTATTAGCAAATATTTTAACAGAAATATTTCTCGATAAATACTGAAGATTCTAAAAATTCTAATTACAATTTGAAACAAATCATCAAAATGTGCCATTAACGATGTTTGCAACGTCAAATTACGATCTCTTTTTTATTGAGATACGCTTATGTTGCTAGATACAACACAATTTTAGAATCCTTTCATTATTGCCATCTTTATGCTCTCTCTCTCTCTCTCTCTCTCTCTCTCTCTCTCTCTCTTCCCTCCCGCCCTCTTTCTCTCTCTCTCTACCTCTTTTTCCCTTCTGCGTGCGTTCACAGATGTGAAGCGCATGTTTGGTAATTAATAATTTTTAACTATTTAACTCTAATATGTATCTAACAGAACTCGCGTCGATCATTCTTTTAAAGCAATTAGTGCACTTATCAACGTGTACTGGCAGAGAATAGAAACGAAATTATCTTGATACATTTAGAAAGGGGAAAAAGATGTACGAATACTAGTAAATTATGTAATCAACAACAATGAAACATTAATTAGAAATTTTACTTACGCATGAATTGATATACTCGTATATATCTGTGTTCAGATTATCGTTGTGTCCGCAACCCTTTTTCGCAGTCTCGGATGTCTGCGACATTTCTTTCTCACACGCGTACTTCTCACTCGCGTGATAAAAAAACATACTATACTTCAGAAACTGAAATTGTTTATTAGGATCAGCAATGTAAAACAGGAAATAATCATGAAATGCCGAAATTTGTCGACATCTAGCGTAAAGTTCTTATCAGACTACAGGTTGACGATTATTATGAGCGGTTACTTGGTTCTGTTAACTAATCAATGTAGCGAACCCATCGTGATTGGCTAAAGCGAACAACCGTTAATCGTCTAATACGGGTTTAAAGCGTTTTCAACAAAATCTGCTCGTAGTCCTGGAAACACATTTGTTTCATGCTGCTTATTCAAATCGACATGAACCCAAGGGCAATTTGATACAAGTTATTTTTGCCTAACATTTGTCCCCTCTTCTTTTTTTCGAAATTATCATCTCGACAATCTTTCTGGGAGTTCCTCTACAGATTATAGGATCCTATTCTTCCTTGACAAAGATTTCAAAATGCCAGAATTTCTTGAGTACCTGTTATGGAACATATCAGAATGAACTCCAATCGGAATTATTCTCTTTCCCTAAAAAACACAATAGAAATCTAGGAAATAATTGAATAATTCCTATCGGAATCCATTCCAATTTTGTTCTACGATAAGTGCCCTGTCCTACTTTGAGTTTTTGCTGTAGGTTATCGGGCTTCGTTTTCTTGATTCCAATCTGCTTTTTGTTAGAAAATTAGGATCCCTCTTTCTCACCGCTTGCTTTTTTCCCACATTCGCCTTTTTCATAAGTCTTAAACTTTAGAAGAGGGAGAGGCTCTTTTATAGAAGGATTCCGATTACGTTACGATTGGACACAGTCACTCACAGCGATCGATGTCTTGGAGTTTTCCACTGTTCAAGCACTGTGAATGGCTGGTGTCCAATCGTAACATATCCAATTGATATCAACTCCCTTTTATTCATTGTGGATTCAACACATTTTAAAAAGCTCTTCAGATACTTGCCTTGGCGTTTGTTTCATGGAAAATCACAAATCGAAAATTGTGGGCGAAATAGTATTCAGTCATGCAAATATTACGTATGCAATGTTCGGAGAAGTCTTTCTTCATCCAGATTTCAAATTTGTCTCTTTTGTCCAAGTTTCATTAAAAAAACTCATTCAAAAATTTTTTTCTGGAGAAGCTCTTTATTTTTTAGAATATTCTTACCAGATTTGATCTAAAGAAGAAAAATTTTCAGTGCGATAACAATCTTACTGAACTAATATATTTTTCTTTTCAACTACAATTGACTGGACTCTGATCTCTTCTCATACATTTATCTAACCTTTAATACTTTTTATTGGACCGCTAATTTGGATGTAGTGTTTTTTTGTTTAATATTTGAAATCTAGAATCTCGTAGATAAGGAATTATGTGCTGAATGAATTATTTAAAGTTATGGTGAATTGTTATTTTTCAGTAAAAATCGAAAATCTGTAAATCTTCATATAAGCATCATAAATTAAGTTAACATCAATTTTGATTTTTTTCGTTTTTTTATCGTAATCTTAAGGTGGTTGTATCGTATAGAAAAGGCTTGTGGGGAGGGCAAGCACTCGAAGCGTCAGCATATCAGGGCACCGTTCGGCGGTAAACAAAAAATTCAAAAATCAGCCTTCGCAGGGAAGAGGCTGATCAGGTTGAAAACTTAGCTTCCTGTCTCGGGGCTAGGCTCGGGGTTGCTGAGCGATTCCTGTGAAGTACCTTTGGGGAGTAGCTCCCGAAGCGCTGGCCGACCAGTGTTACGCATGTAGGCGGCGCAAACTAGGAGTAGCATATACTACGAAGATCCGATCGATGATCGAAATTGGTACCGCGGGGACTGGGCAGTTGCCCATGCCCAGTCATGAGTAGGATCATCGCGGAGGTAGTGGTTGATAGCTACATGCTGACTAGGAGCCTTTGGTTCCGGTGGGTGAGTTGCGTTACAAGCTCGGAAATCAGTCTGCATAGCTGATAGAGCGTGGATAGTCGCTCGCTCCGATCAGTAAGTTGCTTGAGACTTACATCTTGCAAGCTGAGAGTCTCAGCATAACCGTGATGCGCTGATTGGACGTATTCTAGTCTCGGGCCCATAGGGGCTGTGCGAGTTAAGCTTTCTGCAGGTATCGCACGTAAATCTGAAAGGATGTTCTTGTGTGCGTCATTATTTGAGAATGAGTTAATAAACGAAATGGATATTAGTGAAGTAGTAAAAAGAGAGCAACTTTCTAAGATTTTATAATATTTGCCTAGTTATTCTCTATTTTCTTTGATTTAGAAGATTCGTATTATATTTAACTATAGTTTTTCTTATTATATTTATCTTTAGTTTTTGAGCGAATTTCTAAATACCGTTTTTGTGCTATAATAGAAAATGTACTGTCGCTTCTTGTCTGGCACAGAGAACTCCTTGTCTAGCATATTAAAAGTAAACTTCAAATGCAATTATCTTTTGAATATGCCTGATTACCCCTCCCTCCTCAAAATGATATGTATAGAGAACATCATTATTTTTAAATAGTAAAAGAAGTTTTGATTTGTAAAATCAAACAAATCTTAATAATATACGATCAATCACTTGCGGAATAAGTGGTGAAAAGGATATTGTTCTACATTAATAATACCAACCTAATGTATGAAAATTTTTTAATAATAAGAAAGGCTAATTTATGATTTATTAAAATTAAATGATAATATTGATTGCTAATTTTTATATAATTATAAGAATCATAATATTAATATTCTATTAGTAGGAAAACGGAAGTAATTTAATATTTTATATTCAATAATTATCGATAACTTGGTAACGTTGCATTTTGAAAATGAGGTTGGCATTTCTACTCGAGTTGCACACTAGTAATTGACAAGTGCCATTAGCAATTGACAGTTAAGGTTAAAATATTATTTTTACATACGTGTTTTAATAACAAAACAATAGGTTATAAGCAAGCACATATATATTCAATCATCACACATGTGTAATAGGATGAAGTAAGCCGCAATTTAACGTAATGTCGAAAATCAACAGCGTTGCTAAGTTTTCCGTGTATATTTCTTTAGATGTCCAAATAGGCATGCTTTCATCAGCTTTTTGATTGCTATACAAATAAGTTACACAGTGAATAGAGTTAAAATTCTTGCAAGGAGGTAAAAAAAAGTTTGTTCTAACTATTTATATGTTTTTTTATGGATCGAAGCATTTTAAAAGTAAGTAATTATGTAATATATCAATCATATGACACCATGCATAAAACTCTAACTTTAGCTCTTTCCTTTTTAAAAATTAGACGGTCAATCGGTTTGAAAAAAAATTATTAATTTTAAATAATAATAATAACAATAAATTATTATTATAAATTATTAATTATTAATTATTAATTATTAATTATTTATTTTTTAAATTATTATTGGAAGTATAAATAAGTTTCCGCCGTTTGACAAACAATGGCGCTACCAGTATGTTATAGTTAAAATTGTCAACTGTAAAACGTCATATCGTAAGATTGGACATCTGGCAAGAACATAACCTTGAAATATTAGCGATTTTGCATCAGCATCTTATATCTTTTTTCGTGCGAAAATGTCGAGTTTTGAGCCGAATAAGCATCATTTGCGGGAGCTTTTGATTTACTTCTTTAATTTGAAGAAATCTGCAGCTGAGG